ATTGGCAGTCAGTCTTCTATAGTTCCCTCCCCTTTATACTCTGTTAGTGACTACTGATCCTCTCTCCATTCCCCTTAAAACCATGTGATCTTCCGAGCATCCCCCCCGCTTAGAAATAAATAATGATTGGTCCCCTAATATGTCAAATGAGCGTTATATTGTTAGGCATCTTACCTTTCTACAAGGCTTAGAGCTAATTTCAAAGGCAGATTTGAATATTTTTCTTTGTTGACTTGTGAGTATTGTTCGAGGTCTCTTTGGTCCTTTTTTGTCGTCATTTTCATCATCACCAATTACTGATGAATCGTCAGAATCAGAATTGTCCGCTTTCTCCGATTTTGTCTCTTTATCATTTTTAAAACTGTTATTTATTACATCTGCAGGGAACAAAGACAAAGAAACTCTGAGTTAGTATTGAGAGCACATTCTTGTTCTCGTGGAAAAGAAAAACGGTAGGAGATTCCTTAACATTGATATGTATTGGTATTCATTTATTTTTAAACAATTGAAGGGATGGACCAATCAAAAAAATGTCAGAGGAAAAAGGAAAATCCACCAGTTGCCTGAACTGCCTTTTTCAAATTTTCCATACGGGAGGTTTTAACACGATTTTTTTGTTTGTTTATTTCACTTAGAAAGACAAAGCATTGCAGGGCTTGTTCATCAACAACGGTTAGTCTGTTCTAATAATTGCTCAAGTCTGCTTTTTCATACGATTAAGATAAAATGGGATGCAAAGAAGTGAAAAAAAAAAAGCCAAAATTCTGGAATCACGGTGAAGATTGCCTCACTATCTACATACATTTGTAACTGCATCAACTACACTTATTGAGTGTAACAACCCAGGGATCTAAATCAACAGATGTAGATTTAAACATCCCACTTCACTTACTCTCTTGTTGCGGCTTGTGTGGCGGACTGTTTGATGATCCTTTTGTGGGAAGTTTTCCATAGTCGTCCTTGCAGTATAACTTGTTATCTTTTAACGCAAATTCCTGGCCTTTTTCAAGGCGATGGCCACACATAGTGCACACGAAACATTGTATGTGATACACATTTCCTAATGCTCGCATCACAAACTCGTTTGCAGGGATGGTCGTCTTGCAGCCACTGCATTTAGTGGCATACATCCTGAAGAAGAAATTCAAAAAATTAAGACACGTTGGCCTCCAATTGGAATCAATTTCCCTTGCTTTTACTGCTAGCTTACAAAATTATCATCCGATAAGCATCACTTCGTATCAGTTTTCTCTTAGCGCCACTTTTCAATCGGCCCCCAATCGTAATTGTTCTTTCATGTATCCATCAGTCCACACAGTTCAACATATGGTGAGCATGCGTTTGCCCATACACTTTGAAAATCTTTAATAACAGAAGCAAGCCACCCAATAAAATGAAAAAAATGTTTCAAGAAAATAACATTTTAAAAAGTTCGTAGATACATGTACAAAACGTTTTGTCAGCAGCTCAGACCGAACCTTGTACGAAAAGCCGTATTTGTATCTACAACACACACTGAATTACTAATAGCCCCAAAAATCTCCACTTCTGACAATGCACCGATATATAGTCTAAAATTTAAATGGTGTTAATAAAAAGTGTTTCTTACAATAACTATCATCTCGCCTTCCTAAATTCACGAATTTTTTTTTCTGCTCGTTTTGATCAAGTAATGCAAGCCATCAAACTTTATATTTCTTTTTTCTTTCTACAATTTACCGAAACTGTGTGGTTCTATCATTATCGTTATTATCACTTTTTTTATCGAGGGTGTCTACACTCACTACTTAAACTCTGGCAAAAATATATGGACGTTAGGAAATAGAGTTAATGAAAGGCCCTATCAAAACCCCAAGGTGCGCACGCTCAGTGAATGTTTCAAACAAACCACACCCTGTTTTACACAGCCAATAAGATTTCGATATCTTGTAATTGGCTGGTCTTGTAATTAGTTGTAACAGGGAAGTGATGACAACTGAAAATTTTGGAATAGCAACAATTGTTCTCCACCTTGTTGCAAGTTTTCGCCCAGCACCTGGAGTCAGCTGCTAGCGCTACTTTCCATATATAGAGTAGAGAACTATTCACAATCTTATTTATCACAATTTTATTGATTTAAAGCAAGAGTCCTAAGTAAAATCTTAATTACATGACTTTTCTTGTTTTGTTTTTATAGTATTGCTCAGTTAACGCTTTATTTCTTTCATTCATTGAAAAACATAGTGCAACATTAAAAAAGATGCTTTTTAAGTAAGATCTTGAAAGAACACTTTCCTTGAGAGGAGCTAAACAGAACGTTCCAGTTAAGCGAAGGAACAAAAAACCTGTTATAAGCCACGTTTTGGTAAACCTAAATAATGAGCAATATTTATGTGACGTTCAGCTGGTTAAACAAGCTCTTAAGATATCATATCGGCCACCATCTTGTCCTATTTGCGTTTGAATATCTCATTTCCCTTCTGTTTACTAACCTGCTGTTTATAACAAACAAGAGGTGTTACTCAAGAGAGAAAATTCACAATGCTAACTTAGTTGTGTTAGTTATGAGTTTATCGGCGAATCTAACACTCTTATGGTATTTACTTAGTGCGTCCAAAACAAATATTGTTTATTTTATTTCCACTGTCTTAACACGCAACCGCATGGAAAAAATCAAGTACCCAAGACTTGAGTAAACATGAAAAACATATCACTTTTCCGATCTTTTGTTTTTAGTCAACATGTTGACTTATGGATAAACCTATATAAATTAATGTTTTTCCACCATCAGTTTTATCGATTCTAATATTATCATATGTATCTTGTTTCCTATTAAATTTGCTCGCCAAACTTCCGAAGGCAAATGCGAAAAAGCCTCCTGAGCAAATTGATAAAAATTGGTTAACCGATAAAAGTTGGAACTTTGTGAACTAAATTAATTGTAAGTGTTCGATTTCCACTTTAAAGGTGGTGCGTTGGTTCATGAATAAAAACAAAGGAACTTTCTCAAAAAACATTTCAGTCGGTTCCTCTTGACTTGATTCAATACAATATAAAGCACTTCAGAGAAATTTGAAAAAATTATGTTAGAGACCCATGGTCATGTTAAGTCATTTAATCACTCGGTTAGGTGTAAGTAAATGACCAATTTTGGGAGGGTAAGAACGCAAAAGACCTGAAAAAAAAAAAAACAAAAAAACAATCTTGGCCTTTATTAAGTCTTCCAATTATGTAATATCACATAATTTATTTGTTGCGAAATGTACTAAACTCAGAGTAGTTTTAAATTTGAAAAAATTCTTAAAGTTTTCCCCTAAAAGATTCTATAGTAAACACTATTATCTTGTAGAGGTAGAAAAAAATTGAGGTTTATAAATGACTATTACAACTCTTGCATATGAACACTCACCTCCATAAAACGTTACTCGCTCCAAAAACAATTTTCTTCCCTCTCAAAAACATATATTCAAAGGCCGACGAGCCTTTCAGTATACATTTAACTGTTTCGTTTATGACCAATTCAGTAAAAGTCTGAAGAATACAACGCTTGCCCCGAGAGCTTGCTGAAAGATAAATTGGTTTAGACTAGACGGAATTCTGTGCAAAGTTAACAAGACAGGTTTTATATTGCAATCAAAACTCTCCTGAAGCTTTTGAAAGAAACATTACATAGTCTTAGTCCAAATAAGTAACAGGTCTTTGCACAGTCCAGCGTTCAAGTTAGCGGCATAAAAAATAATCATATCCACTCATTTTCCATAAGCAATAGAAAACCTGATCGGTTTATATTAAGCAATTTATTTAGCTACGTACTGTTGAGATGCCTGTTGCTGACAGCAACAGGTTGTGCAATTATTCGCGGAAACGTGTCACCTCCTAACTAATTAAAAAGCCTTAAGCTGGCAAAATATACAAGCTCGTGATACATCTCCATTGAAGGAGATTACAGGGCTTTAGAAAGTAAGAGCTGGTTATTTTAGGCTCGGCGCTACAACTGAACCAGTTATTAATTTTTTTCAGGCTTATGAAATTCATTTCTTGTCTTCTTGTCGAACATTGTTCTCGATGAGCTGGACTCTTTCAACGATTGATGATCAACTGAACGCATGAAAGCTTTTGATAAAAGATACATCTCTTAAATGAGCAAGGGATACTTCTTTGGTCGCGACTCACGAGGGAGCTGTCATTAATCAAATACGGAATAAGTATAACAACTGTAAAGACACACAGTGCCACAGCCTCTCTCGAAGTGAAAAGAGACTTTAAAAGACATAGTGAAAACAGACTTGTTTTTAAGTTTGCAGTAATACACAAGGTCAAATTCTTGGTTTTCTTGTGGCAGTTATTGTTCCCATATGTTGATATCTAAGCTGTTTTTGTAGGGGTAATCTTGGTGGTGAAAATTGCTCCCATTTAACCCCCATACAATTTCTTAGATAAGGATTGTTTTCAGAACAAGCAATTCAAGGATTTTCAGTTGTTTACACTAAGGAAAGATTCAATTTCAAAAACATAGAGGTATTTTAGAGGAATATCGAGGGCCTCTAACATGTTATCAATCCTCTATACATTCCAATTAAAATCGTATCAACGTTTAAGACAAAACACCCCTTTCAAGACAAAACAAAACCCTGCTCCAATTTCGTTTGATATCAAACACGTCTGAGAGGGCCAAGTGAGTTTACCTTCGACTCTCTACTTCACAAGGTGTTTTTTTGTCTACAGATCCCAACAGATGCATCCTGACGCGCCAATTTTCCTGTACGCACAACTTCGCAGCATAAGAAAGACTTCTAAGAACGGTTGTTCAAGTTGCTAGATTGCAGGCTTCTCGTAGATCGAATCTCGTTTCTTAAAGGTACAATCTTTCAAAAAGCAACGCGACTATGTTCCCCTCTTGCACTGAATGAATTCCACGACTACTCAGCTAAAAACCACTCTCCGTTTAGTCTCCATCTGAACACTACATGTATCTTTAGTGCGTTCTTACTTTTATCACAAAACTAAGAGCTATCTTTAGCGCAAAAACATTGAGCGATAACCTTCTCCTATCACCAGGTCATTGCACCTTACCGCCGCCAAATCAGGGAGTTTAGACTTTCATCTCTCTGCGATAACCTACAAAAAGGCTCTTAGTCTTAAATTTCCCTGTCAGTTTATGTTCTTAGCTCTGTATCTGTGGCCGGGTGTTGTTCTGAAGATAAACATCTGAGACGAATCATTTGAATATTTGAAAAAGATCGATACAGGTACAGTTTAGGTGCATTTCTTAAAGACAAGTTAGTCCTCGTGGAACATACTTACAAAAAAATTCGACAGTTCAAATAATAAAGATCAGTCGAGGGGATTTACATAGAAAGTATTTAATGTTTCCTTCTCGAAAAAAATTTGTTGAGTTCGTAAAGCATCGATGCATTTATCTGTTGCGACACGATTACTGATCTCCAAATGATGTTTCAGACCAACGATCTCTTTTGCCTGGTGAACGTTTTCTCAGGAAATTAAGTTGACCGAAAACATTTATTATTCTGATTGCATTTTTTGAACTATAAAACTGAGAAACATGTTCAGTTGCTCAATTTGGATCGAGTCCATTCCAGTTACAAGAACAGGATTGTGTTACAACGATTAAAAATAAAGTGTGCTTGTTTTGTTATTGACCCAACTTAGAATACTATTTTTCCTCTAACCTACCAAGAAACCGGTAAAGTAAACCGCGAACTGCTTGATTTATGAACAATCAGTAGTGCTATTCGAGAAGAAGGACAAACATGGCGTTATTTTATGAATGAAGGAAGAGGCGACGACAGCTTTTGTTTGCTATATATTTAAAAACATGGTCGAGACTTCTCCTTCGAGAATCAAACAGCATACTCTGTATTTATTGAAATAAAACCCTTGCGACAAAGAAATGCGTCAACGATCGACAACTGTCATACTCAAGCACTTTAAGCTGACTAAATCTAACAGATTTCTCCCCTAAGTCGATTAGCGGTTCGTTTTTTACAGAGAACTTCTAAGCTTCGCTCGAAATAACCTGAAGTTGTTTTCGATGATTCTAAGACTGCACAAATTTCTCTTTGAGTATTCGAGTAATTTCGAATGTTTTTTAAATGGTTGCACAAATCCAGTAGAAAACACGACGAAAGAAAAAAACTACTTCTTTTTTGCTGTGTAATTGCTCGAGGAGAAACATTTACAGTAAACAGAATAAAGAAATTCATTTAATTTCAGATAAAAATGACAAAAGAATCCCATTTATAAGCTAGTGGGTGTATTTGCAAAGGCAAAGGCTGTGTGGGGCCTAATGAATTATTCAAGTTTGCTTTGATCAGAATTTGTCGCGTCCTTAAAGCTGAATTTCAAGCTCTCTTCGACCAGTATAAGAGGAGGGTTAAATACAGGCTATTTTATTCGTAAGTGCAATCTTGTTGAGTCGATTGAACCTTATAAACAGCATAACTTTTATAGACAATTTTGACAAAAGTATCATTAAGATTTCCACCGCGCTTCAAAGGAATCGCCGACCTTTATTTCATGATACTTTTCAAACATGTCCTGCCTTACGATCCAGCAAGTGAACACATGTATTCGTGTTTACGCTAGCTTGTTGCCTGTAATTATACTGTTGTTTTTTCGCTTCACATTTCCGGGAGGTTCATCACCTACTTCAACGACAAAAAGTGAAGAAAGGTTGGCAAGACACGATAACTTCAACACAACCGGTTATGTTTTCATTTGCTCATAATTTATGACCGCTTTTGATGTTGAATACTCCCAAGTCAAACGAGGCAAGTGCTCGATAACCAGGTTTGATTTATGCTCCACATGCGACGATTCATGCGTGTGTAAATCACTTCTCACAAGTTTAAAATAGAATGTTTGGCTGTGCCCCAATAAAATTAAAAATCCAACGCTTTTAGTTTTTGGTGTAGGTAAATCAGTGGACAAGCTAACACAATCTATACAAATATTCCATAAGTCGGCTCCGTTTTAACTTTAATATAACCACGGCAACACGAGTTAATTTTGAAGCACGCATTCGGAGAAAAAAAGAACCGGTCTTTGGTCCCGTAAGGAGGCGGAAATAGCCCTCAGGAGTAGAGGAGGAAACGAACAACGGCCAGGATCGAAAGTCTTAGGGCCGAACACTTAATGGTGTGTGTGATTGACAATGGTAATGGATCCGTTCTTGGGCAAACATTCAATTATAAAAATAAAAACTTCGCTGCTAACTGATTCTTGGAACACGTCTTACGGTCAAGTGGACGAAAAACCTTTTACTCAAACGAAAAACTGTTTGTATGCAGATAAGGCATGTGTAGTCTTTTCAAGTAAAAATAACAATAATAAAAACAAGTAATCATTTTCCAAGCTTTTGCTATTATTAGCAAAGTAATACATTGTGAGAGATAATTTAAATGTTGCATTCAAGTCTCGTTCTAAGTAACTAAACTCGACCCAATTTGAAAGGCTTCTTGGCAATTTGACTTATCTTTGCTATCTTATAGAATGAGCCTTAATTGAACACTTAACTTCGAAACATTTTCACTTGGCAACTTTTTTTGTAAATTTATTTTCAAATTTTATTACCGGAACTAACCAGGTACGGGTTACACAAAAATACTTGGTAAAACTATACACTAAGTGATACATAGATTTTATTCCTTTCCTGGGTGCCTTTTTCCACTTGTTTTGTTAACGTTTAAAGCTCTCACATCCGTCCACATGTAACTTTGATAATTACGTCGATTGTGAAAAAAAAAAAAAAAGCCATCAAAGGATATATCGTTCAAAATCGGAATGCAAACTAGCCTACGCAGGAAAAAAGAATTACGAAGTCATCCACAGAAACCCATTTCGACGTTTACTCGATCCAATACAAAAAGGAAGGAAAAATTAATCGAACGCGCACCACAAAAATAACGGAAAAGATCTATCAATTCGAGATGCACGTTTGATTAACACATTCAAAGAGCTTCCTGGAGGTAGAACATTGGTTGTAGTGAGCTCGCTAAGTTATCGGAGGGCGCGAAAATTAGGACCTAAATACACCCAACGAGATTTCTGTTCTTTCAACACGTTAATTATATTAAAAGGTGAAATAAGTAAAAAAAACGCAATAATTATTCATATTTTCTAGAATCGGCAGGCGGCCTAGCGCTTTGGATGTTCAAAGGAGACCGATTGTATCCGCATGCATAGCTAACATGTATATGTTTAGGTCCATGATGTAAATATAATTTCGGGATGATCGCCGTTCATGCAAGTAAAATTGCGAGTGCTACAACCTATTTTGAGCATTTTGAATCATTTAATGCCTCGCTGAAATGAACCGAAACTTTTAGAAAAAAATTCTCAGAAAGCAATCTGTTGCCGTATATCACTGTAGCCGACATCAGACCGTCAGAGCGCCCGATCGTGACAAAAGATTTTGGGTCGAAGACAGAATATGATTTCATAAATTACAAGCACTCTGAAATCGACAGCAAAACTTGTGCTGCGTGATGTAGAAGGTACTTAGAGAAAAACTATTAATTACAAAGTATTTAATGAGAACGGGGAGATGAAAATGTCGTCAAGTAATACATTACTTTATCATCGTTTTACTAAGCTAGCGGCGGACATCACAGTAACTTACTTTTCATAGTCAGTCCGACAGTACAGCTTCCTGTCTTTACTGAAGCATGACCGCGATAGAGTATTCCTACATATACAGCATTGCAAGCAGCTTTCATGCCATGGTTCGTCCATCACTTTCATCACAAATCTGTCCTCGATCGGCTCCTGGCAGCCTGTACACACACTCATCCTCCTATTTTGACTTCCATTTTGCCCGCAGCTTGCCTTCCCTGCAAACAGATCACAAACGAACGTTGTCGAATTGAATTCTTACCATCAAGAAAGTCTTCGTTTCGGATATGAGGAACTAACCAATTATTTTTGGGGGCTTCCGGCAGGAGCTATCCTCCATAGTCATTGGGCTACGCGCGCTAACACTCGTCCACGAGTGTAATACATAAAGATGTGACTCGTCCGAGTCTTTGCTGAGGCCTGTGTCAAACGTATTCGAGATATTTAATCCCCCACGCGCTTATAGCCTGGCAAAGCTGGGTCAGTGGACTACAGTTGCACACTGGTCACAATATTTCTGTTTGTGTAATTGTTTCTATGCTACGATTGACTTCTGCTTTTGTAGTTTGCTATCTACGACGGTTAACAGGGGTTCCCTTCATTCCACCTGTTTGACCAGTTGGAACACAAGCATAATTTTCCTCCGGTAAGCGACGTCCTCTCTGATCAAGCGCGATAGATAATTCGCGCCCGAATCGGACTTGTGTGGAAATTTTGGCCGAGATGTCGGGATAAGACGCTCCGATATTCGGA